GTAAAGGCTTATAATTTTCTCCATAAGAGTTTTCCCATATTTTGGTAAGATGTATTCAAGGTAACTTATTTTTTATTGCCTCATTAAGTGGTATAACTTTGTAGGTTTTTTTTTTTAAAGATTTTATTTATTTATTAGAGAGAGAGAGAGAATGAGAGGTAGAGAGCAGGAGAGGGAAGAGGGTCAGAGGGAGAAGCAGACTCCCTGCTGAGCAGGGAGCCCGATGTGGGACTCGATCCCGGGACTCCAGGATCATGATCTGAGCCGAAGGCAGTCGCTTAACCGACTGAGCCACCCAGGCGCCCCTGTAGGGTATTTTTTCAACTTTTTATGATGACACATTTCAAAGATGCAGAAAATCTGAAAGATGAACACATGTACACACTCCTCCTAGAGCCAACAACTATTAACATTTTCCCATAGGCGGCTTTTTTTGATGAGCCATTTGAAATTAAACAGCACACATCATGACACTTCATGCCTTAAAATTTCCACATGCCTCTTCTGAGAATGACATTCTCCCACAAAATCAGCTACCATTTGTGACAGTAAACAATACATTTAAAAAGAGCACTTCCAGCGGCTGGTTGGAATCATCTGCAAATAATGACAGACTAGTTCCTTCCATTGTAATTCTCATCAGGTTAATTTCTCACCCTTGCTAAAACACTCCATACAACGTTGAGTAGAACGCTAGCAACAGGATCTTCCATTTCACCATTAAGGGTGATATTTTTGGAGATTTTTATGGATCTCCTTTAGCATGTAAGAAAGCTTCCTTTTATTTCATCTTTGCAAAGGACTTTTTTTTTTTTAAATCACAGAAGCATGTTGAATTTTACTGAATACTTTTTAAAAATATATTAAGATAGCTTTATGATTTACATTACTGTGTTGAACTATACTGATAGCTTTTCTAATGTTAAAGCAATATTCTATTACCAGGATAAATCCAACTTGATCATAATCTTTTTTGTAGAGTGGTGGATTCGTTTTGTTAGTATGTTACATTTATCTTCATGAGTTAGATTGGCTTGTAATTTTCCTTGAACTATTTTTGCTGGTTTAGGCATTGATAAATAAGTGAATATTTTCTGTTTTTCGATTCCTTGGAAGAATTTTTGAAAGATTAGAATAGTAAGTTTCTTAACTGTTCCTAGGAATTAACCTGGAAAATAATCTGGTCAATTACTTGGTGTAAGTGTCTATTTATGTCCATTAATAAAGTCTGCTCATTGTGTTGACAAGGGAGCAGAAAGCTAGGTGAGGAGAAAGCAGAGACCCTCCCCCCACACCCAGATGGGATATATGTGACATTCTTCGGGCACTCCCGGGGGCCCTACAGCTAAGGAAAGGAAAAACAAATAGTTAACTTATTGAGATCACAATCCTGCAAGACAGAAGTCTCCCTCAGTTTACAAAAGTCTCAGCAATTTACAAGAACAAAGCATTTCTATCAATAACCTAGCTTCTAGAAGGCAAGGTAGATACAATCAAATGTCCTTCTAACCTGCAGCCCATTGAAAGATGCTTGAATTGGGCTGGCTGAGTGTACTGTTCCTCCAGGAAGCTCCCAACTCTTTTAATGTTAATGTCTTGCTAGAGGGAAAAACAACCTTCACTGGACAATGGCAAGGCCTCCGGTGTCCCGTGAGTCTTCTTTAACATATGAAAATCCTTTTGAAACCTCCCTTTTCCTTACCTCCCCCAACTCCCAAGTATATAGTCAGCCACCGCTCACAACCACAGTGCCACAGCTCTTTCTGCCCACGGGTTCTGCCCCCGGACTTTAATAAACCACCATTTTGCACCAGAGACCTCTCAAGAATTCTTTCTTGGTCATCGGCTCCGGACCTCACCCCATCAAACCTCACCTATATTTCAAAACCACATCAGTGTTGTTCACATCTTCTGTATTTTCACTGATGTTTATTTGACCTTTGATGGCCAAGAGAGAAGGTGGTGGATTTGTAAAGGTCTTGTAATTCTATAAATGTTTCTTCTATACATTTTTGGAAACTGTGTTGTTAGGTATATGCAAGTTCACAACTACTACATTTTCCAGGCAATTTGTTTACTTTATAAGTGACTCTCCTTATTCCGCATAAAGCCCTTTAATCTCAGGTCTATTTTGTCCATTATTAATGTAGCCATACCAGCTTTCTTTTACATACGTTCATTCTACATATGCCTCATAAACAGCATAGCGTATGATTGTCTTTAAAAACTAGACAATCTGATAATCTATTTTTTTAATCCATTCATATCAACTGGGCAGTTGTTTACATGTATTATGATGGCTGATGTACTTTGCATACACTTCACGTATATTTTGCGCTTTCTTTCTGTCCTGTTTTTTTCTGGGTTGAGTCTTACTCCTTTCCCCCCTCGGCATTCTTTGCTTCATTTTGTTGGGCTGCATTGAGTTCTTTCCCACTTAGTCCACTTTTTCTTCTTTAGGGTTGGACATAATCAATATATACTTTATTTCTTATTTTCTTTAAGGTTTTATTTATTTATTTGAGAGAGAGAGAGAGAGAGCACGTGAGCATGACCTGGGGCGGGTGGGAGCGGAGGGCAGAGGGAGAAGGAGAAGCAGACTCCCCGCTGAGCAGGGAGCCTGACATGGGGCTCCATCCCAGGACCCTGGGATCATGACCGGAGTCGAAGGCAGACGCTTAATCGACTGCGCCACCCAGGTGCCCTCTGCTAAATTATCTTTAAAAAAAAAATCCTTGCTTCTAGGGATGCCTGGGTGGCGCAGTTGGTGTCCGACTCTTGGTTTTGGCTCAGGTCATGATCTCAGGGTCGTGAGATCCAGCTCCATCTCGGGCTCTGGGCCTGCCACTATGATGCCTTCTTCACTTCCCCAGGTACATACTCCCACTTCACTTTTGTTACTGAGGATTTCCCAAGTTTTCTTGCACATTCTGCTGTAATTTCAAAGGACATTAATAATATACCCTCTAGCCAGCTTTGTCGGTTGTTTTGTAGTGTGAGCATTATTTCAGGATACCTATTCTGCCATATGAACAGAACTCTGTTGCCGATTTTTAGCATATAATAATAGTATTTTGTTTTCATTGTATCACAGCTACTCCCCTTGGTAAGCAATTCTGATTTTCCACTTGTATTCATGAAAGAAGTGGTAATGTGGGCTTGACTTCAGAGTCGATTTGTTTTTTTGGTTTTTTTTTAAAGATTTATTTATTTGACAGAGAGACACAGCGAGAGAGGGAACACAAGCAGGGGGAGTGGGAGAGGGAGAAGCAGGCTTCCCGCCGAGGAGGGAGCCCGACGCCGGGCTCCATCCCAGGACCCTGGGATCATGACCTGAGCCGAAGGCAGACACTCAACGAATGAGCCACCCAGGCACCCCCAGAGTTGATTTGATTCAGTGGTTCAGTGATGCCAGGAAGAACTGGGTTTCTAGTCTTCTCTATGCTGTCATTTTTGATGGAGGAGCTTTCTTTATCTGGAGCTGGCTTCCTGGTAATGGAAAGACGGTGATCAATAATTCCTGAGACTACTCGCTTCTCCCTCCAAGAACAAGGAAGTGGGTCTCTGCAAGTTCCCTTAAAAGAGTGAGAAAACCCCCAAACCTCCTCCCCTAAGCCCCACATCTCACTGGCCATAAGCGGGTTGTTTGTTCATCCCTGAAGTGGCAATTCTGGCAGGGAATGAGATTAAGCTGCTGAGCCAGAGACTGGATACATGCCTACCCCTAGCGCTGAGGTCAAGTGGGCTACCCAGGCTGATAGTAGGCTCCAGGGAGGTGTGTATACGCCAACAAAAATTCCATGAAGCTGTCAAGAGAAGGAGAAATGCACGTTGATAGAGTAACCTGCAGAAGAGGGCTGAATATAGAGACACACAAGCCACCTGGTGTGAATGTGGACGTCAGGGGTCTGGTGGAACAGTGGTGTCATTCCTAGACAGCTCCAAGCACACCATTCAGAACAGAAATAAGTGACTTGCCAGGAGGACACAGTCTGATCTATCTGCTGTACCTGGTCCCGGAATGTCTTCTACTTGGGATGACCTGGACACCCGTAAAGTATGGGAGATGGGTGGGTCCCGGCATATTCGGGATGGTTCCCTTTGTGGATCTAGGCATGGGAGCCCAAGGACAGTGTGGGAGGGAAGAATTTACTAGGGAAGTCCCGCTCCCAGGCCAAAGAGGCATGTGATTTGGAATGAATTAGGTTTTCGTCTTCCGCTTTATTGGAGAGCAATCCAGGTTGCTTTGTGTTTTGCAAACAGCACTGCGAAGAGCTTCTGAAGGACAGGGAAAAGCCATACTTTCTGGACTAAGGTTTATCTCACTCTCTTTCTACTCCCGCGTCCCTTGCCTGAGGTGCATGGGAAGACCTCTCGCCACTCCTGGGGGCTTCGAGAGGGTGGGGGGGGGCACTTGGAAGCTGAAGGCAAAGAAAGGCTGGCCCAGGCAGGCTGGAGGGTCCTCGGCGCATAGCCCTGTGTCCTCGGCGCTGGTGCCTGGGCCAGGGGTCCTCGGGGGCTGGCTCTCGGGTCCAGGAGCTCAGGGGGAGCAGCAGCTCCTGGGGCTCACGCGGGGACCCAATCAGTGCTCCCCAGAATTCCCTTTCTTCATCCCAATTCGAAGCGCTCACAACAGGAGCGGTCCAGGGGACGAGGGGAGGGAGACAAGCTCCTACCGGCCCTACATTGCCCGCGGGGGTGGGGTGGGGGGGGAGGGGGGGGGGCGGGACGAAGTCCCGGGGCTTCAAGGGCTTTCCCCCCCCCCCCCCCCCAGCCGGCCTGAGCCCGGAGCGCTTCTCGGGCCTTCCCTGGGGGAAACTCCTCCTCCGCCGCCCCCGCCCGGACCCGCCCCGCGCGGGGCCGCGGCACCCGCCAGTCCCGTGCCGGAGGTGACCCGGGACCGCGTTTAGGGGTGTCGCCCTGGGCACTCGGACACCGCCTCCCGGAATTAAAGCGAGAGCCGGGGAGTGTCGGGGAGTTGGGCGCCGGGCAGAGGAAGACGAGCTCCGCAGGAGGCGGAGGAGGTGGAGGGAGAGGAGGAAGGGCAAGGGGCGGAGAGCGCCGGGCCCAGGAGCCCGGCAGGTAAGCCGCGCGCGCTGCCGGTTCTCCGTGCCGAGTCTGGGGTGCGGGTCCCGGGCGCGAAAGGAAGGATCTGGGCGCCGGGGGACAACCCAAGCGCCCCCCGCGCTGGGTGGCGGCGGCTGGACGTGAGGCCGGGTGTGAGCCGCGCGAGCGCAGCAGGTGAGTCCTCCCGCCGGCGGGACGCTCCGGGCCGGGCAGGGCCGAGGGCCCGCGGTGCAGTTGGCGGGTGTGGCGCGCCTGGGACCCCTTGGTGCGCCGCGCGGAGGCTCCCGGGCCACTGCGTTGGCTTCGCGCCGCCCGGGCACGTTGCTCCGAGTCCCTGGCTCAGTGGTCGGAGCAGAGGGTGCCTCGGGGTCGGCCCCCTTGGCCAGAGTCGGCTCTTGGACCCCCTGCCTCCTGCGGCCCGGGGCTGGGGAGCAGGGGTGCTCCTTTTCTTTTGGGGGACAAGGAGGGCAGAGAGTTGTCTATCCGTTTCTTTGTTTCGGGAAAATCTCTGCGGCCTCGGAGTGTTACCTGAACTCCTGCTTCTTGGTTCCCTCCCGAGGTGGGGAGAAACTGGAAACTCGCTGAGATTCTGGGAGCGATACGGCGGGCGCGGCGGGGAAAGCTCCCCGAGGGCCCCCGGGCGAGGCGCGAACGGCTCGGCGGTCCCGGGGAGGGGCTGTCGGCAGCCCGGACCCCGGCGGCGGCGACCAGAGCCAGGCCGCCTGGGCACCGGGGGTCCGTGGGAGCCCGCCGGGGAGGAGCTGTCCTGGCCCCGGGCGCGCGCTCCCTGCCGGGGACAAGGCCGGCCCCTGGGCGCTTCCGTCCACCGCACGCGGTGCAGCGGGACTCTGGAGAGTGGCCGCGCGGTGGAGCGCACCAGCCTGGCAGTGGACGTCCTGCCCGCCGCCCCACGGGCCCTGCGGGAGCATTGCCTTACGGGCCCGAAGTTCGGGCGTCCCCGCCTCAGAGGGCACTTGGGTGCCCGGAGCCCTGAGGGCACAGCGTGGTGGCCCAGAATTGCGAAGCCCGAATCCTTTTTCCAGCGCACAGGTGGCAGGCCTGGTCAAGAGGAATCCTAGTGGCTCCCGGCCCAAGGTCCACCTGGTGGTCAGGCGTCACCCAGGGCTCGGCTCTGACACTGCGCACTCCTGGATTCCAACTGGTGCGGGGGTCCTGGGACTAGAATGGGGGCGCCCAGAGGGCACGCTGATCTTGGGTCATGGAGCCGTCACCCGAATCATGGAAAATTACAAAGGCTGCCAAGCGGAATTCAAGGCGTTTTAGGAAGCCCAAAGTGAGCGGAGGCTTGTTGACTTAGCCTCGGAGGTCGGGGAAGGTTTTTCAGGAAGTGAGGCTGGCACCAGCCTCCCCTGAAGCCGGGGGGGGGGGGGGGGAGGAGGGGGGGGGGGGGGGACCGGGGCCGCGGGGGGGGGGGGGGGGGGGGGGGGGCACTAGGAATGTGGGCAGAGATGACCCAGGCCCGGGGAACCTAGGGGGCGCAGGCACCCACAGAGCAGCCCAGGCTCCCAGGCGGCCCCTGCTGAGCCAGGTGAGGGGAGCCTGGTGGGCCCAGTGAAGGGGAGTTGTTTCCGTTTTCCCAGCTTTTGTAGAGGTGAGGCCTTCCTCCCTCCCCCCAGCACAGCAGACCTTAACGGGAGGTTGGGGTTATCTGTAAAGGCAAGGGCAGCACCAAGCAAGCAAAGGCTAAGCTCCCTAGTTGGGGGAGTCCCCTCAGTGGGGGGGCTTGTGCCTGAAGGTCCGTCATTCAACACTTTCCTCTGTTTTTGTTTTGTTTTTTTGTTAAAGATTTTATTTATTTATTTGAGAGAGAGAGAGAGAGAGAGAGAGAGAGCATGAGAGGGGGGAGGGTCAGAGGGAGAACAGACTCCCTGCTGAGCAGGGAGCCCGATGCGGGACTCGATCCCGGGACTCCAGGATATGACCTGAGCCGAAGGCAGTCGCTTAACCAACTGAGCCACCCAGGCGCCCTTGTTTTTTGTTTTTAAATATCAACGGGTGGGCAGCATGGGCCTTTGCTCTTCGCCTCAACAAGTCCATCAAGCAACTTTCCTCTTAAGCATTCCCAAGGTCACCCTTCTCCGACCAAGTTTGTGCTGTTGCCGGAGCCCTGGACAGGGCTTGGAGCTTGGGCCTCGCACCCTTGGCTGCTCACCGGAATTGTAGGAGAAAATGTGGCCACGTTGGTATTATAATAACAGCAAACATGGATGAGGCACTTTCTTCCTGTCAGGTGTCATTCCAAACTCTTTATAACATCCTTCACTTTACTGTGAGTTAACTGAGGCAGAGAGGCAAGGTGCTTGCCCAAGGTCCTGTAACCCGTGGGGAGCCGTGGGGCTGAAGCCTGGCCATCTGGCTCTGCAGGGCTCTGGCCGGTTCTGTGACTGCCTCTTCCAGGAGATTGGAATGTCACAGGTACCAGTGTGGAAGGCCACGGCAGCTGAGAATAGGGCCCAAGGAAGGATTCCTCATGCAGCAGGGGCTTGCTGGCGGGCCGGGCTGGTTCCCCCTGCCCACAGCCCCACCTGGGCATTGTGCTGAATCTTCCAGAGTGAGCTGGGCTGGAGTGTCTGGGACTCCTCGGTGGGGCAGTGCAGAGGGCCGAGCTCCCCGGCTAATGGGGCAATGAGGAATGAGACTCGGGTCAAAATGTCCGGTAGACAATGCAGCCCAGACACATGCGGGCCTCCCAGGAAGTGAACACCAGGAGCCCAGGCTGGTGGCCCTCACTCTTTCCCACCCAAACCCTGTGGCAGGAGTCCCGGGAGAGCTTTGTGATCATATGGGGTCACTGCCCCGGTTCCAGTCGTGGCATCAGACTGACAGTAGAGCTCAGTTCTCTATTTTTCTAAGCCCTCCAGAAAAATCTCAGGTTTGGGGGCCTGGGAGTGAAGTCCAAGCCTTGGTAATGGGAGCAGGAAATGGAAAGGAAATTGACTGGGTCAGTTTAGTGGCCGGTCAGTTTTGGGTACTTCAGGATTAGAAGCTGGCCTGCTGGTGAGGAGGGTGAAGGGGGGGATCTGGAGAGGCACTAGGGGTCTGCACACTTTCCCACCTCTGCTTACTCCCACTGCTCAGGATCTCCTGCGGTCATCCCGCTTCCCACAACTGCTGAGCCTTTCCTGCTTTTCCTTGCCCCCCTTTCCAGGGCAGCTGCAGGGACCCCCTGACGTTGGGTCTGCCCCAGGACATGTTGGTGGCCCCTGGGGATGGGGTGCAAGGGCATCACGTGAGTCCCATCCTGGCTTGGTACTGGAGACCCTAAAGGCCATCTCAGGGAGCCCTGGCTTGCAAGCCTCCAGGAGTAGTGGGCCTGGCTGTGGAGGAGGGGGACTCGTACGCTCTGTGCCGCTGACCATTGTGGCCCCAGCTACATGTAGAATCCTGGGGAGTCGCAAAGGGTTTGGCTGATCAAACAGGCAGTTTCGGGGGACAACCTAGAGGCAAAGCTTGAGGTCAGAAAGGAGAAGAGCCAGCCTAGGACTTGGTCTGTCCTGGCCACTGGACAGTGGTCGGGAGCAGAGGACCCAGGACATGTGGAAATGTCATGGTCAGCCTTAGAGGCATCGAGGAGGAAGCAGACACTGATTTTCTGGTGGGGAGGTGGGCAGTTACTTGGATTGTGAACAGGGAAGGGGGAAGGTGGCTCAAAGACACACTTGTAGGGGCCCCTGGGTGGCTCAGTTGGTGAAACGTCTGTCTTGAGTCATGATCTCAGGGTCCTGGGATTGAGTCCTGTGTGGGCTCCCTGCTCAGAGGGGAGCCTGCTTCTCCCTCTCCCTCTGCCCACCCCCCCCCCGCCACTCCTCCTCTCTCTGACCCCCCCCCCCTCCCCCAAATCAATGAAAAAAATCTTTAAAAAAAAAAAAAAAGGAAAGACAGGTTTGTAGAGGTGAGTGCAGGAGGACGATAGGGCTTGCTCTGGGTGAAAACTCCAGGCAGTTTGTCGATGTAGATGGCGCGCTCAGCTATGAGGCATCACCGGGGCGCGTGTGCAGGGGGCCGAGGGTGCAGAGATAGGATAAGAAAGCACCTGGGTGAAGTGCCGTGCCTGCCTTCGGCTCAGGTCATGGTCCCAGGGTCCTGGGATCAAGCCCCGCATCGGGCTTCCTGCTCCGCGGGAAGCCTGCTTGTGTTCCCTCTCTCGCTGTGTCTCAGTCTGTCAAATAAATAAAATGTTAAAAAAAAAAAATCTATTTTGCACATAACCGCCCCTTCCGTCCTAGCAGGTAAACCTTAGTTGCCGTCATGGTGTTATTATCGTGTGCCCATCGTGTGTGTTGGCCACGGTGCTAGAAACAGACACACTCGGTCCTCGAAACAACCCTATTTATTGATTATCTCATTCCACAGATGAGCTTGGACGAGGTCTTGAACCCTTAGCCGTGGCCCTTGCACAGCCGCGAGGCTCCTCCCTCCCGGAGGGACCTGGGCACCTCTCCAGCCAGCCTGTCACATTAGGTATGCAGTCAGTGTTGTTCACCTGCATCTGTGAGGTCACCCACGTCCTCACCTTGGAGGCCGGTTTTGTCCAGGTGCGGGCTTCCCAGCCTGCTCGCTCGCTCTCAGATTCCATCGTACTCATTTTGGCCTCTGGAACTCGAAAAATATCGAACACTTTCTTGTCTGCTACAGAGCTTAGCTTGAAAGCAAGCAAGCAAGAAAAAAGGGCCCGACCCAATTCCTGCCCTAAAAAGTTTGCAATCACACCGGGACAATGAGGCATTCATAGAAAAAGAAACGTGAAAGATGCAGGCAGTGCCTCACCTGAGATACTGTCTCTGTCTCTGTGTCTGTCTCTCATTCCCATGTGAATCACTGTGCAGGCCTTTCGTCCGTCCATCTTCACTGTTGCTTAAACCCTCCACTGGCCCATAACTGGCATCGAACTGGGCTTTGTATCCGCGACAGGACACGAGAACATCGTTTTGGATGATGTCATTTTATGCGGTGGTTGAGACATTAGGGGGCTCTCAGTGACCATCTGTTTATTGGATACGGAGTGTCTATTGGTGTTGCTTGCTTTGGAGTTTGAAGGAGAGGTACAAGGGTCAAGGATGGTGGGGCTTTGTCATCCTGTCACACCTCATCCCTTGTCAGTCACACCTCATCCCCGGCGTCTTAAAGGCGCCCAGTGGGGCTCCACACAGTAGCAAATGCTTGAAAGGTGTGCGGTGAGCTCAGCAGGCAGGGACTCCGTTATAAGGAAGACCCCAGGGGGCCCCCTGGGTGGGAGTTCGAATCTCTGTGATTGGTCTCATTTGCATTGATTTGCTGGTTTTCAAAATGTTTCTCCAGGAAATGCTTTCTGAGATCCCCAAAGAAAAGACTCTTGTGTTTGGAAATGGCTTCGTCACGCCATGGCGCAGGCAGGACTCCACCGCACGGTCCTGGCACGGTCCTGCTTGAGCTGTGGTCGGGCAGGTGCTCGGGGATGACTCAGCTCTCGGAAAAGAGCACGGAGTGACCGAAACTCCCGGGATGTGTTGTGTTGTGTTGTGTTGTGTTGTGTTGTGTTGTGTTGTGTGACTCAAGTGGGCCACTTTGTCCGTGTTGGCTTGGGAGCCGGCCGAGGACAAGGAGGGACAAGGAACTTTGTCACATATTTGCTCTTTTGTCACTTGCAAGAATGAGTTGTTAAGGCTGGCTTTCCGGAATCAAGGACAATCATCTGTGTCCTCTGAGTGACAGGAAAGAGCATTTGAGAGACCGTGTCGTCTCTCACTCCCTCGGCTGTCTTGTTCTGTTCAAAACCCAGTGGCAGAGATGCATGTCACTGCGGAGATGCCTGTGGTTTTGTGTCTGTGTGTTTTGCTTGGTTTTGTGTGTTTTTTGGGCGTACAACGTTATTTATGTAAATGCCTGTTTTGAACATGAATGGACCCAGTGTGGCTTCTGGTCATGTTGGAAGATGGTGGCTCTTGCAGATCCAGTTCCAGAGGGAGGCACTTGTCCTTCCCTGCTTTTCGGCCAGAAAAATTACAGGCTGAGCACCACTCCTGTCTTCTGTTCCAAAGTCCGCGGGAGCCCATCTGGGCACACTGGGCGTTTCTGGCTCAGGTTTTGCGGGCCGTGGGAACTCTGGACGAGATAGGATTATCCTGTGATTACTTCGGGGTCCTGTGGCTTTTACTGGACCGTTCGTGGCCTTGGCCGCCTGCGCTCCTTTCTCCCCTGGCTTCCTGGTCTCTCGCTGTTAGGGATCACGAATGGATAGGAAGTGTGGATTTCGAGGGCTGGCTGATCGTTCCTTTCAGAGGGCTCTTAAACTGGGCACGCCGCCAGGGGGATCGAATTCTCATTTCCTGAAACTGCACCCAAACCTAGAACTGGTGAGATAGCTCAGAGGCCTGAGGATGCTCAGGCAGGACGCTTCGGACGTGCTGCGTCCCACTCAGCGGCGTGCTGCGATTTTGTGCCCCGCGTGGACCAGCGTAGAGTGGGGTACTGTCTTGATGTATCTGAGGAGCAGACGTAGGACAGGTTTATTAGTAGGTGAGGATCACACCATTTAAAGGCTTACATGATGATGATCCTCCCACCTGTATATTGGACAGTTTACTTTCCTTGTACCCAGAAAGGTGTTGACCTTTTACTTAAATTAAAAAAAATCTCAAAGCTGGAGCGCCTGGGTGGCTCAGTTCGTTAAGCGTCTGCCTTCGGCTCGGGTCATGATCCCAGGGTCCTGGGATCGAGCCCCACATCGGGCTCCCTGCTCCGAGGGAAGCCTGCTTCTCCCTCTCCCACTCCCCCTGCTTGTGTTCCCTCTCTCGCTGTGTCTCTCTCTGTCAAATAGATAAATAAAATCTTTTTAAAAAAAAATCCCAAAGCTATCAATATGAACTCCTCCTTGTATTTTCTTACTTTTTTTTTTTTTTTTTTTATTACGGAGGCGTCACGCCCAGCATAGAGCCTGACACGGGGCTTGAACTCACGACCCTGAGACCAAGACCTGAGCTGAGATTGACAGTTGGGCGCTCAACCGACTGAGCCACCCAGGCGCCCCCTCGTTCTTGCGTTTTAGCTTTACGTGAAAAGTAAATAAATGACCTGGTGCATTTTTATTGTGACCTGTTCATTGGAGGCTTCCCAAGACTAAAAAGCCATACTGGCATTTTTATTTATAGCAAGTTAATGTTTTTTTTTTTTTTTTTTTTGGCGGGTTTTTGTTTTTGTTTGTTTTTAGTTTAACAAGTCTACTAATAATTGTGCTCCGGGCATAGAAGGCAGTAAGTGGGCTGGGGCTGGTTCTATTGCATTTAGCTCCACCAGCTTTTCAGAGCTGATGGACTTGGGACTTTGGGAGAAATACCAGAGGAAATCTGCAAACCTGCAAATGCCTCATATCGGTCGCTTTCCCCCTTGCCCGCTGGAAGCAACATCTATCAGTTTTATAATTACTTTTTTCTTTTAAGATTTTTATTTATTTATTTGACAGAGACACAGCGAGAGAGGGAACACAAGCAGGGGGAGTGGCAGAGGGAGAAGGAGGCTTCCCGCGGAGCAGGGAGCCTGACGTGGGGCTCGATCCCAGGACCCCGGGATCATGACCAGAGCTGAAGGCAGACGCTTAATGACTGAGCCACCCAGGCGCTGCCCCTATAATCACTTTTATTTAACAAAAACAGAGGCAGCACTTACCGTATGCCAGGCACTGAGAGCTACATTGGTACCAACTCATTTCACACCCCAACAACCCTGTAGTGGGTGCCACTCTTAATCGCCTTTTGCAGTTGAGACCACTGGGGCACGGGAACATTAACTGACGTGCCCCAGTCCACAGGTCCCAGAGGCCATGGGCTTAGCCACCGCACTGCCTGCTGCCGTTTGGGCAACTACTGTGTGCTGGGGGCTTTACAGGTGGTGTGAAGCCCAGAGCTTTCTCGTTGGGAATGTGGTCTTGTGTGGATGCAGGATCTGGAAGGCTATTTCTTGAAGTATTCTTTGGTCATTCCAGGACAGCAGGGAGGGGCAGAGAGAAGCCCTTCACATGCGCTTAAGAGGGAAAGAGTGATGCCAGAATGGAGGCATTCCGTGCTGATGGTTTTTCTAGAAATTACTGTTAACTGTTCACAAACATCTGCAAACAGATTTTACTGCAAACCTTAGAAACTGTCAAAATTAGTTCTGAAATGTTTTTCTTTTCTGGATTTGGGGTAGTATGTGAAGAAACGGGTGTGTGTGGATGTGTTGTATGGAATTTTTTCCCCAGGTGTTTGTTAAGAAGTGGGAGATTGCATATGGCTTATTTAGAAAGTTAGGTGTGGCCTCCATCTGGTACTAAGTTCTGGGCCACCTGTTCACAGTGGGTGCCCACCCCTTCCTCCCCGTGGACCGTCTGCAGGAGCGAGCCAGGGGGCGTCTCAGGGCCTGCTGTGGCTCCCCTGGACCCCCTCCTTAAATCCTCACCCGAATGGGACCGTGCCCACTTCCACATCCATTTCTGTCCCAGATTCAGAGAGGTGCAGGCACTGGCCTGATGCCGCCGCCAGGGAGTGGCAGTGCCATGAGTTGACCCCCGGTCTTTGCCCCCCCCTTAACCTCCCCTGAACGTGAGGGTCAGTGAGTCACCTTTGCATGCTTCCTGTGCCTGCGACCAGAGGCAGCCTGGGGGACGTCTCCGACCGCGAGAGCCGTGTTACTTACAACCAGCCCCGGAGCTAAGGCAGGCGAGCACCAAGCTCCTTGCGCGTGCGCTGTATGGGGAAGAGGCCGGCGAAGGTGAAGGCCAAGGTGAATGGGAAAACTGCCCTTTGTTCCGGAGAGAGCTAACTCATCTAGAACGTCTTCTAGTTAGTTCTTTCTCCGTGTGTCTCCTAAAAACGAACCGGTATGGAAATAACACAGTCTTATCGTTCTTTCTTCTAGGTCATCTTAAACGTCCCAAATCTCTGCCATTACCTGATGCTGCTGATAAAATCAGGATGGCTTTAAACTCAGTAAGTGGTTAATTATTACCTTCCCAGACTTTTCTTTGTTCCCTTATCCCCTCTGTAATTTTCTGAAGTGTGTGCTGGGTGGCATTTTAAGCCCTGGCTGCAGGGCCAGCGAGTGCTCTGTGGATGCTGGTCAGTCAGGGCGCTGAGGGGGTGGGTGGGAGCAGGTTAGGGTGCACACACACCACAGCTGCGCCCCCGGAGAGCGCCCCAAAGCTGTCGGGTGGGTGTAGGGTATGTGCACTGCTCAAACCTGAGCCTCTTCTCTTCCTGCCCTGCGGGTGAGTTTCAGGGTGGGCAGTGGGGGGACAGCCAGGGGCAGACGGGTGCTGGGAGGGAGTAAGTCCCAGGGGAGAACAGGTGTGTGGGGCATCACCGGCCAGCTGACCCCTGCGCCGCCCGGAGTCCTGATAAACTGGGGGAGGCTGTGATGGAATGTAGCATTGGGCTGACTGTCCCTCTCCCTGGATGCTCCCCACCCCCGCAACAACTCTGGAGACAAATGCAGTATCTTTGTTCCCCATTATATCTCCCTGGCTCATGTTATCCCTGCGAATGGGTGCATGCAATACAGTTGTGGTTAATAACCAATATTTTCCATATCTTGTATCTGGAAAAGAGCCCTTTTGCTTTTCCTTCTTTAGCAGTTGCTGGTTTTTATTTTCACTGGTTCCATTTTAAACTGCATATCCCCTGCACAGGGCTTCGCCGGGACAGACCGCCGTGCCTGCCCCAACCTTTCCAGGGTGGGACAGCATGTTCTTAGATGCTTCCGATAGGGACCAAACTCATGTGCTCTTTTTTTTTGGCCTTTGGTGCCCCATTTAGATTAGAGATTACACCGTTTCCCTTTCTGTCCACTGCTCTGGTTCAGTTACAATCTTTGCGCTTCTGAAGGAGAGCATCGGTGAGTTATTAAGCAGAGGTTAACTCTGGCAACGGGCACTTGGCACTTGGCACTTGGCTCATTCCGGTATAATCTCGCTTCGCTGGAGGCTCCTCTTTAAAATGCTAAGCATTGCGTTGCCTCGGCTCAGAATACCAGTCCTATCCTGAGACCGCGGCCAACAAGAAACAGGAGGAGAAATGAATGAACGAGTGGGAAGAAGTTTGAGGGGCCCTCAGATAGGAGGGCAAATGTAGACTCCCCGCACGGCCCCGCCAGGGGGTGATTGAGGAGGGCAGAAGCAGGGGACACGCAGGCTGGCCGGCGGGGGTCTTGCAGGGGCAGCCAGAGAAGGCTGTGTTTAAGTGGGCAGAGGGCGAGGGGAAGGGTGTTCCAAGGAGACGGATGAGGCAGGAATAAAAGCTGTAGCTGGGGCAGCACCTTCTGTGTCGTGTGCACAGAGACCCAGCGGCTCCCCGCAGAGGCGCTCGCTGCAAACCCTTTAAACGTCCCATAGAAAATGGTGACGCATCTCCTAAGGGAGGAGGAGGTAGGAAAGGAACTTTTAGAATAACATGTATAGTATGAACCTTCAGGTAAATTTCTTAACCTCTATCACTCAACATTCCTCTCTGCAAAATGGGTCCATGAGTCACGCCTGCACCTTCGTAGGGGTGTGGTCGGGTCCAGGAGGCTGCAAGTGTAGACTCCTGGCGGGAGCTCGGCCATTACCATTCTTGCTATAATCTCCATCTCAGGGTTTGGGTGTCGACTCCTGCCCAGACTTCTGCACATTTATTTTTTCAAAAAAAAATTTTTTTTAATTTGTTTACTGAATCTCAGTGTTGACCATTTACTTTCTCTTTATTTCAAAAAATTTGTCAGTGAACAAACAAATGCAAAACCTGTTGACAATTAATTGAAAGTTCTGGTTTAGTCAGTCTGGGTAAGTTCAGAGAAGAATCCGCAGCAGCTTTTCAGCCCCTTGTCTAAGTGTGACGGACGCACGCCTAACCTTGAGGGTAACCGGGGTTTTATATCATGCACCTTCTCTGTCATTGTTTAGGGGTCACCGCCAGGAGTTGGACCTTACTACGAAAACCATGGATACCAGCCTGAAAGCCTGTATCCCCCGCGGCCCGCCACGGTCCCCAGCACCTACCCGGTGTATCCAGTCCTGTACTACCCGCCCGAGGGGCCCCAGTCCACCCCAAGGGTGCTGACGCACACTTCGACACCCACCGTCCGCATGCAGCCCAAGTCCCCATCGGGGACGGCATGCACTGCAAGTAGGGACTCTTTTGCGTTTCTTTCCTGCAGTAGAACCGGCGCTGGGGTCTGTCTTCTCCAGGGGGCTCTGTCCTCTGTCGCTGACTGTCCTCCCTCTGCTGGGGCTGGTTCCATGCTCTCCCCCTCTCCCTCGATGTCCCAGCTCTCACCCTCTCGCCTCCTGCCCGGGGCCCTTGGAGAGCTGCCAGGCTGCAAAGCCCTTCCTTCACTTTCCTTAACTCTCCTGGCCCAGCTTGGCCTGTACCACCCAGGGTGGTCTTCCGAGCTGGGCCTCTCTGCCCTGCTCTTGCCGGCCTGGCTTGTCAGTGCGTCATCCTGAGTGAATGGTAAGCTCCGATGCGGGAACCACCTACCCACCCTTTCTTTGTGGCGAGGTTCCCTGGACACGGCAAGTCACGCTTAAGATGCTGGACGAGGGCGGCTTGGCGCTCAGCGAAGGAAGTGGCTGGTGTGCCTGGCACTCGGAAGCATTTCTGGGCTTTAAGGGGCTCGTGGACAGAGCAGAGTGGGCATAGAGCAAGGTGAGGGCTCCAAGGACTGACCCCTTCGGTGCCACGTGCTTCTAACTCCTAAATCTCTTTCTTTCTTGCAGTCCTCCCAGCTTTTTTTTTTTTTTAAGATTTTATTTATTGAGAGAGAGCAGGAGTGGGGTGGGGGAGGGTGCAGATGGAGAAGCAGATCCCCGCTGAGCAGAGAGCCTGACGGTGGGGCTCAACCCCAGGGCCCTGGGATCGCGATCTGAGCCACCCAGGTGCCCCGCCCCTCCCAGCCTTGAGTGCCGGCCAGTGCAAGTGCCGAGAGCTGCCGGGTAGCAGCTAGTCGGAGTACTGGTGGCTAAACAATTCACGTTTCTGCTGACGATGTTTTCTCTACTTTGCAAGCGTGCACGTACACGCAGGGTGCACAGTTAAAAGAGTAATAATAAAGTGAATTTCCACGTGCCCCCAGCACATCATACAGCACGGAAATGAGTCCTTAACACCTGTGCTACTAGAAGCCCCAGTGTGCCCCTCCCCAGACCCTGCAGCCCTTAGCCAGCACTGTTCCCCTTCTTCCCGCCTGACGCTGGCCTCTGCATCCCTCACCCTCTGCAAACGGCTCCTGGTCCTTCCTTCTCGCCGTCAACCTCTACTCTTGTTTATTCCGTCCTCTCTGATCAGGAAAATCCTGGTCTCTGCGCTTTTGTCTCTCTGGTGGCAGCGAGGGAGGCTGAGACCTGTGGTTCTTAATCGGGGTTGATTTCGGCCCCCAGGGATCTTGAGAGTATCTGGAGACGGTTTGGGTTTGTTGTAACTGGAGTAACTGGCACCCACTCTGGGTGGGTGCCTGCGATGCTGGTGACACCCATGTGCACAGGACGGCGTGCCACAACCTAAACCACCTGGCCAAGATGACAGTAGTGCCGAGCCCCAGGAGCCCTGGTCTGAGGTCGTCGTGGGGGTTGGAAGGAAGCCAGGGTCACGAGGGTTCACGAACCCCCGACGGTGGTATCTGCCTTCCCCCAAAAAGAGGACTGTGGTCAGAAACCAAGGGTCCCCTCTTGAGGTTAGCACGTCCGAAGGGTGGACTTCATACTAGTGACCGTGCAGCCCAGGCGGACAAGATGAGCCCACTTGCCTGACACCTGCATCTCCACTTTTCCAGGGGAAAAACCTGGTGATGGCAAGCAGTCGGACGGGGAATCTATCAATTCCTTATCAATGACTTCATAAGGGAAGAGTACCAGCCTACATGTATGGTTCTACATTATAAAACCGGCCTTTCAACTAAAACATTGCTTAGTGAACTTATCTTGCTATTTTATTTTATTTTACATTTTATTTATTTATTTGACAGAGAGAGAGCACAAGTAGGCAGAGAGGCAGGCAGAGGGAGAGGGAGAAGCAGGCTTCCCGCTGAGCGGAGAGTCCGACGTGGGGCTCGATCCCAGGACCCTGGGATCATGACCTGAGCCAAGGGCAGATGCCTAATGACTGAGCCACCCAGGCGCCCCTATTTTATTTTATTTTTAAAAGATTTTATTTTATTTAACACAGAGAGAGAGAAAGAGAGAGGGAGAACGCACAAACCGGGGGAGCAGCAGGCTTCCCGCGGAGCAGGGAGCCCGATGCGGGGCTCGATCCCAGGACCCTGGGATCATGACCTGAGCCAAGGGCAGATGCTTAACCAACTGAGCCACCCAGGCGCCCCTTAACCTTGCCATTTTAAAAACCATTTTATTGACTTAACACAGAAACATGTACATTTTATAAGTTTAATGTTTGGCCTTGGAAGTATTTTTTTTAATTAATAGACTATTTTTCAGAATAGTTTTTGGCTTACAGAAAAATTGAGTACCAAGTTCCCATATACCCCCCCTTTCACCTCCAAGTTCCTCCCATCTTGCCTTAGTGCGCTACACTTGTTACAGTCGATGAACCAAGGTTGGTACGTAATTATTAACTAAAGTCCATAGTTTTATTAGGATCATGCCCTTTTTGTTGTATATTCTGTAGCTTTTGACCAATGTATAATGACATGTCCATCATTACAGTAAAATACAGGATAGTTTCAGTGCCCTCAAAATCCCCCATGCTCTGCCCACTCGTCCCTGTCTTGTTCCCCCAGCACTTGGCAACCGCCGATCTTCTGTCTCAGTAGTTCTGCCGCCTTTTTTCACAGTGTCATGTATTTGCAATCATGCAGTACGTAGCCTTGTCAGAGCCTTGATAGTATTTTGCAAGTTACTTAAATAGCACAAATCCAGAAGAACCCATCAGGAGTGCAAGGGCCATCCAGGGACACCCTGTATCTATTTGCTATAGCAACAGCCAATGTTTCACACTTGAGTCCCCACGCATACACATCTTCAAGTCTGGGGTTTGGAGAACTGAAGGTCAGCAGTCTGTGATGCAGATGGTTGGCCCTGGACATGGTAGGGCTGAATCAACCCCAGACGAAATTGATAATGATGAAGGCACATGAATAGTATGTTGTACTTAAATGCAACAGTAGTGCCGTTGTCAACCAGACACCTGATTGCAAGATGCCTGCCCACCAAAGGTAGGATCGGGGGTTCCCACTGCCTGCGTGCTCCTCCAGATTGCCATATGCTCACTGAGAGGTTCAGAATACTTAATTTAATAGCTCTTAGCTCACCAGGCACGTTATTTTATGGTACAACAGGAAAGCCCCCCACAGGAAGAAATTCTCCTTGGCTAATGAGTCAAATTGGGCATTTGGAATTTCCCCTGAGTTTCCCCTGCCACTCCGCCCTGCCCAGCCCTGAGACATAATCACTGTAGGCCCAGTTCTGATCATGTGGCTCGGTGGCCCGGGGCTCTCCTTGGACCAGTGGCCTCCGCCTCCCCTGTGAGCCTGCTAGGACTTGCAGATGCACACCTCCCCTTCCCCAGCAGACTCTGAATTCCCGGTGATGAGGGCCAGGAAATGGGGGGGGTGCCCGGCCTCCCCCACACTCCAGGACACTTACCTGGCTGTCCTCCTGTAAACTGAGTGGGTGGGAGGGTCTGTGAATGCCTCCCCCCGCCCCCCCGCCGCCTCTCCCCGATTCCTCTGAGGAAAGCTCCCAGGAGCCGCTTACGCCTGTCTAGGAACTGCTGGGTGTGGTGTGCTTGGCGCTTGCTAGGCTTTTGGTTTACACGCTGACCAACAATGACCTGTCGGCTTGTTTTGACTGGAGAACATTGGTGACCTTCTCCAAATGACTGTGTTCTTAGCTGCGATGTGAGCCCAGTGCTCCTTCTGTCTCAGCCCAAAGGGCGATGTCAGCCCTGCCCAGGGGAACAGTCCATGGGGACGGGAATGGTCTACCTCTGCCCTCTCCAGTAGGGCAGCCCCCCAGCATTTGAATTTACATAACTATGAATAAATGACTTTAATAAATTTCATGATAAGTGACTGAAGTGCAAACAGCCTCACGTGGCTAGTGGCTGTCGATGGGACGCTGCGGGTCTGCGGCATCCGTTCCCTAAACTGTCTTGGGTAAGACAGTTTACTCTGCCTTGAGCACCACTGCCAGGGAGGTGATAGTCGAGGACGTTATTGTTTTCCCCTGCTTGTAATCACCAAAACAAGGCATTTTTCCTCTTTCAGGCAATTTTTTACATGAATCATGTATTTGATTATTCTAAGACGATACCTTTTTTTTTTAAGATTTATTTATTTATTTATTGGGGGTGGGGAGCCCAATGCAGGGCTTGATCTCACAACCCTGAGACTGTGACCTGAGCTGAAACCAAGAGTCGGATGCTTCACCGACTGAGCCACCCAGGCACCCCAAGACCGTCTTTTTTAAAACCTAAGTATAGGTCACTTCATATCATGGCTTCCTGCTTTTGTGCTCTTAAAAAACTGAGTGCTGGGGCGCCTGGGTGGCTCGGTCGTTGGGCGTCTGCCTTCGGCTCAGGTCATGATCCCAGGGTCCTGGGATCGAGCCCCGCATCGGGCTCCCTGCTCCGCGGGAAGCCTGCTTCTCCCTCTCCCTCTCCCCCTGCTTGTGTTCCCTCTCTCGCTGTGTCTCTCTCTGTCAAATAAATAAATAAAATCTTTAAAAAAAAAATAAACAAAAAAAAAACAGTGCTGTGGGAGAGGTAAGACCTCCCCAGCCAGATACGTTCTTAAAATTTCAAGTCTCATTTTTAAGTGTCTTCGAAGTTACTGCTTGATAATGCTGTCTTCTAAAAGTAGTGGGTAAAATTTGAGAGTGTAACTTCTAAGAAACTCTGTGACTCCACTGTGTGCCCCCCTCTTTCCCCAGAGGCCAAGAAAGCGCTGTGCATCGTGGTCTCCCTGGCGGCTGTCCTGGCGGGAGTCGTGGTGGCCGCCGTCCTGCTCTGGAAGTTCAGTAAGTGTCGGAGGGGGGCCCAGTCTTCGCGGGGTGCCTGCTCTCTGTGGGTGGACCTCCAGCCCTTCCTGCAGTTTCTCTTCCCCCAACCAGCTGTCTTGTCTTTCCTTCTCTTTGGTGATGGGGACACATGAATAACCATTCTCATCTGCTCACGTTGTCCGGGTGGTTATGAGTCACTCTTGTGCTGTGAGTGGAGTACTGACACGCTCCCGACTACATCCAGTGCTTTGGGCTAGGCGCTGCCTGGCACCGGAGAGCACAGACTTCCCGCCTTGGGGCCACACCTGTCCCTGAATCTCGGGGTACCGCATCACCTGCTATGTGCTGGGGCGTGCCTGTCCTGTGCCACCTCATGAGCCACAGCCAGCCTTTTCCATCAGCCCGGGGCAGTGCACACTCATGGCTGTGACGGAACACAGACGTCACTGTGGCAGAGAGGATGTGGGGGTGCTGTCCAAGTCCAAGGCTGCGGGCGCCTCCCACTCGATGCACCAGGGACTACTTTGCTGCTGACTGCCGGCCCTGTTTGCTTTGCTATCGATCGTGGCAGGGGCACATCTGCTCCTTACTAAAATAAAGGGGGGAAAGGGTTCTTCTCTCCTGTTGCTTGGGGCCTGGAGAGTGGGCTCCAGAACTCGTGGTGGGTGCGTGAGGTTTTCTTACCATCTCAGGCTGACTGGGTCTCCCTCCTGTCTCTCTGCAAGTGGAGAACAAATGCTTGGTGTCCGGGGTAGAGTGCGGCTCCTCGGGAACCTGCATCAGCCCCTCCCACTGGTGCGACGGGGTCCTGCACTGCCCCAGTGGGGAGGACGAGAACCGATGTGGTAAGTCAAGGCACCGTGTGCACCTGCGGAGGCAACCAGTCTGCCCTGGTGCCCAGACTGTGGCCCGTACCCGGCCTGGCGGCCAGCCCTGTGTCCGGCATGGCCACCCAGTAGGTCACCGAACCGCGACCTGGAGGCTGCGCCTTTGGTCTAACCCCAGATGAGGAGCCGGGCTCAGAGAGGGTGCGCTCCTGGCCCAGCATCACGCAGCGATGGGAGGGAGACCGCGGGGCTGGGGCCACTCGGACGGTGTGCTCCCAAGTGGAGAGTTGGGAGTGCGCTCTGTATTTTCAGAGCCAGCTTTCCTTTAACATGATATGTAGGTTTTGTCACAGAGCAGGCACCTGGCTCTGGCTTTTTATTATTTCCTGTTAATTGTTAGGAGTGATTTCAAGGGTGATTTCAAGGGTGGTGAAGTGGATGTCCTGGAAATGGTGCCTGAGCAGGCGTGGTGCCCAAATCCACCGGTGGCCACCCCCAGCGTGACCCTGACCCTGGTGTGGCACCTGTTTCCCAGTTGCCTCTGTGTCGTGCGGGTGGGTGGACCTGGAGGAGCCAGCCTCATCCGCCGTGCATTTAACTGACCCCCGCCCCTGCTGTGGAGCTGGCCCATTTCTCCCGACGAGCTTTTAGTTTGTCCTCCTCCCACAGAACGTGTTAGCCAACCAACCAACAAGCCAGACATGCGGGGCCTTGGCTGTGGCTGTGGCCGTGGTGCTGCGGGACTGCGCCCCCGAGTCCTGCTTCCTGCTGCACGCTCTGACACGCGTATCGGGGAACCTCTTGTTTTCAAACAGACAGACGATTCAAAATTACAGCATCAGAGGGATCACCGGGAATAATACCATGAGCAGCTTTCCTCTTCTCCCCTCAACTCCTCAGGTTTCATTTAAACATGGGGAGGGCCCTGGTAGGCGGAGGATGTGGGTCCCCTTTCTTGTCCTGCATCATCCCCGGTGAGGATGCTGCCCTGCACGTCCTCCCTGCCCGGTCCCGGCACCTGTGTGGGGCTCGCCACTGGCCCTGGCCGGTGGGACTCCCCAGACAAGAAGGTGGTCCCCAGCCCCAGCTCTGGGCGGCCCTTGGGGTCACCTGTGTCCGAGGTGGATGCCTCTGTGTCCCACAAGCTGCGCCTGCGTCCCGGGGACTGTCTGCACTTGGCAATGACCCACTCAAGCCTTAAACTTGGAACACAGCGCCTTGCCCGTGTGTTGGTGATGGTGTGTTTATCACCGTTCTCTTAAGGGGTGTCGAGCCTCGTAGAGCGTGGTTAAGCCATCATGTGTGATGGCTTTTGTGTTTTCATACGTATGCACGCAGGTGTGCAAGGAGAAACTCCAGCAAGACAAACTTGTTCTGTTCCCTGCAGACTCTCCCCTCCATCCCTCTCTTCTTAATGTTTAAGTTGTGTTTATTTAAATACTTGAGTTAATATCCTCAAATAGATCAAAATCAGGAAGTACCAAAGGATGTACAGGGAAAGCTTCATCTCCTGCACTACGCGCGCGCGCGCGCACACACACACACACACACACACACACACGCCCGTTCACCAGCCAATCACGCTTCTTTCGCGGGGCAACAAATACACGTTTCTTGCTTCTCCTTCCGGAGAGTTTTTAAGTGAAAAAGCAAATATATGTGTGCATATTTCCTACTGTCCTCATTGCTCAATGCTCACTGCCCAGCTGACCGCACAGGTCTTAAAGACACATCCTAGGGACCCTTTCTGGTTGGGACAGGAGCCCCCGCTTTCCCGTGGTGGCACACCCCGTGCTCCAGTGTGTGGCTCCAGAGCCCTGGGCATCCTCTTCTCGATGGACATAACACGCATGTTCCAGCCGTAGGAGTACATCAGTCGGGAACACCCCCAGAAGTAAAACTGCTGGGTCGGAGCATGTGCACATTTGTAATTTGGTAGATCCACCTGAACTTGGGATTGTAGAATTTCCACGTCAGTTATTTATATAAAACAAGATAGATGAACACAGCATTGTGTATGTGTTCTGTATCAGATCAGAACACACATTTGATGTGCTTTTAATTTGTCCACCTGTCGAGCGGAAATTATTCTCAATGAAGTGCACATCTTCTGACTGACAATAAAGAGCATCACCCGTCCCATGGATAAAGTTCAAGTATACATGGAGAGCTTTCTTTTCCTAAGAGTATGTGTGTATATGTGTGTGGAACGGATGCATATTGTTAAGATTAATTTACTTTCTACATCTGTTGCCGTGATTTTGGTGACCATTCAGTGTCACAGGAGAAACTGAAGGGCGGCTCGGGGTGACCCAGTGAGCACACGGTTTTGTACACTTGAGATTGGCTGAGAGGGAAGACCTCAGGTGTTCTCACCACAGAGGAAAGTGGTAGCTGTGTGAGGTGACAGGTACGTCACCCAGCCTGATTGTGGCACCCACTTCACAGTGTATGCATGCCTCCGAATGCCAGGTCATACCCCTTAAAGTATACGATTGTTCTTTGTCAGTTATACCTCAATAAAGCCAAAAAAATTCCTAAGACTTAAAAAAAGAAAAGAACTTGAGCTTGAGACCATCTCCAGCTCTCTGGTGCATCAACTGTCATGTTTTCCTCGTTAGCATTTTTTTTTTAGTTTTTATTTAAATTCCAGTTAGTGAACGTACAGTGGAATATTGGTTTCAGGTGCGCAACACGGAGATGAAACCCGTGCTCACCACAGCATGCGCCCTCCTGACTCCCCATCACGTCTCCTAGTTAGCATTTGATCGCAGAGAGATGGAAGGAAAAAAAAGTCTCTAAAATGGCTGTAAATCAAGAAGGCAATGTCTCCTTTACTTTCTGCTGTGCCACAGCGTCTGTTTTTTTTTATTTCTTTTATTTATTTTTTTATACTTTTTTATTTATTTTTTCATGAGAGACAGAGACAGAGAGAGAGAGAGAGAGAGAGAGAGGGAGAAGCAGGCTCCCAAGGAGCAGGGAGCCTGATGCGGGACTCGATCCCAGAACCCTGGGATCATGACCTGAGCCTAAGGCAGACACTTAACCATCTGAGCCACCCAGGCACCCTTAATTTTGGAATTATATTTAATTCCAGTGACTTTTAAAAAATGAACTTTATTTTTCAGCAGTGCTGAGTGTATAGAAGATAAAGCAGATAGTACGGACTTCCCGTGTCCCCTGCCCCCACACACAACTGCCGCATGTTTGACACCTTTTGTTGGTAGGGGGCTTTCATTTTAATTGATGAGCCAATGATTAATACATTCTTCTTAATGGAAGTTCTTAGTTCATACTAGGGTTCTTTTCTTGGCGTGTGGACAAATGTACAGTGTATTTGCATTTGGACAGTGGGTTTGAATAAATGCATCATGACCCATATCCACCGTTACGATATCATACAGAGCATTTCCACTGCTCTGAAAACCGTCTGTTGCTCTGCCTCTTCACCCTTTCCTCCCCTAGCCCCTGGCAACCACCAATGTTTTTACTGTCTCCATAGTTGTGCCCCTTTGCAGAATGTCACCTGTTGGAATCATATACCTTGTAGCCTTTTCAGATTGGATTCTGTCACTTAGTGACAAGCACTTAAGCTTCCTCCTTGGCTTTTCCTGGCTTGATGGCTCATGTCTTTTTAGCTTTGGGATCACTCGTCCCAGAAGCATCAGGAAATAATCAGACCACGGCTGCTCACTTCACAGGGAATGAGCCCGGAGGTGTCAGTCAGAAGGTCCAGGGAGTTGTGGCCACAGACGGGGCGGTGGGGGGCGTAGAAGGAGGTCTGTGATAACCAGGTCCTCATTTTATATTTTACTTCCCGTGTATCTCCCCCAGACGTCTGAGCACGGTTTCACATGCTTTTAGGCCTTGCATAAGTGACGTGTGGAACACAGCGTTCAGCAGCGTGCCCTCACACTGTTTTCAAGGTCGTTTGTTAGTGCATGACACCGGTCAATCCTCAAGCCACGTGGGATCCCGCTCTGTGGCTATGCCCCTCTCCACGCAGCCACCCACACAAGGAGAATGCTCAGGATTCTGGATTGTGTGAAAAGGCACTGGAATAGAGAGAGGCTTAAACTATGTCTATAATGTTTCGTTTCTTTAAAAGAGTTGAGATCCTTTGAGCAAAGCGTTGCTGGATTTAGAGGTAGAGCCAGGCACCAGGGCACTTGGCACATCTTGGGGTGCTCTGCCAGGATCCGGGGTGTTGGACAAGAGGGGTCAGTTTGTTGTTGAAAATGATTGTTTAAAGGTCATTTTTAAAAAACCCTTTATACCTTATTCATTTATTAAAAAAATTAGCTTTATCAAGGTATAAATCACATACCATAAAATTCATCCTCCAGAATATACAATTTGGTGGTTTTTACACATCCACGAATAAGTGCAGCCATCCCCACGTCAATTTTGGAATACTTTTCATCACCTGCTAAGGGACCCTGACAGGTCCCCCGCTTGTCCCTCCTCCTGCCCCCAGCCCCACCCCGGGCCCCAAGCAACCACTCATCTGCCCTCTGTTGCTGTGGATTTCCTACTTGGGGCAGTTCATAGAAACGGGCGTATGCGGGTTGTAGCGTGGGCCAGCACTTGGCTCCCTCCAAGGCTGGATGATACTCCGTGGTAGAGATGGACCACACTTCGTTCGCTCATCCGCTGACGGTCGCTTAGGTTTTCCCACCTTCTGGCTACTGGGAATGATGCTGCTGAACATCTGCGGGCGAGTCCTTGGCTGGTCACCTGCTGTCAGTTCTTTGGGGTAACGAGCAGTTGAGGGCCCGGGAGGGATAGAGCAGGGACACCCCTCGGGTGTGGTCAGTGCCTAGGGAACAGGGGACCCAGTGCGGTCACCTCTGAGCCTTTGTGTCGAGGGCTGGGAGGGCTCGGGTGGTGTTAGGACAGCCTCCCGAAACTCACAGAGCCTCTCCCCTGCTGCAGTCCGCCTCTACGGCCCGAACTTCATCCTCCAGGTGTACTCAGCCCAGAGGAAGTCCTGGCACCCCGTGTGTCAGGACGACTGGAATGACAGCTACGGGAGGGCTGCGTGCCAGGACATGGGCTACCGGTGAGTGTGACCCCAGCCACAGAAACCCAGGGATCAAGACTCACTGCCGCGTCCTGGGCTTCCATCCACACCCAGATACTCGGGGATGTCCGGTGCCGTGGTCACCAAGGTCCAAGGTGCCATCTGAGGGCCTTGGTGGCTCTTTTGTCCCAGATCCTCACCTCCCCAGCCGCCCTGGGTGGGGCCTGGGTGGAGACAGGTGGGGGTGGGGCCAGAGGGAACAGGTCGTCCTTGACCTTCACTGTGTGCACGCTTGGGGGAGGCCCCGAAGCCTTTGAACGGGAGAGAAGTGACATCAGATTTATATGGAAGAGGATTCAGTCCTGCATGGGGCCACGGGGAGGGTGGAAGGGCAGGAGGGTCCCTCCCAGGGATTCCCAGTTGGGGGCTCACCGGAGCATCCCTTGAGTGCATGGCAGCCATCTGACCCCATGGGGAGAGGCTGTGTGATCTTACTGCCACCACCTCTTCCTTGGGGTGTCCCTATATGACTTAGGTGCAATACTAGGGGGTTCTCCATATGCCAGTTTTCAAAATTAATTACTGCTTAATAAGAAATTTGGCATCTTAGCTGGTAAAATATTTCAAAATGCCATCCTCAAATTGCAATTGAATGACATAGTGAGGCCCCCATCACAGTTCAGGACCTTAATGGGATTTTATAGCTGGGGGTGTTTTAACTTAAGTTACATCTACTCACACATCCCTATTCTCATGGTTTCTTTATCCGAACCCAAACCAGGTTAGAAAAATAACAACCAGGAGCTTTTACCTGACACTTCCAGGTTCTTGTGGGGAAAGACTTTTTTTTTTAAGATTTTATTTATTTGTTTATTTGAGAGAGCGAGAATGAGAGAGAGAGCACAGGAGAGGGGGGAGGGTCAGAGGGAGAAGCAGAGTCTCTGCCGAGCAGGGAGCCCGATGCGGGACTCGATCCCGGGACTCCAGGATCACGACCTGAGCCGAAGGCAGTCGCTTAACCAACTGGGCCACCCAGGCGCCCGGGGAAGATGGTTCTAACACAACCTCACTTGATTAGAACTTGTGATTTTGTCTTCCAAATGCTAAGGTGTTCTCTTAATCCGAACACTGTGGAAGAGAAGTATGATGATATCACAGGATTTGCAATTGCTTATAACGAAGACACTGCTTTAATTAACATTTTCTGCCTCTTTTAGGAATAGTTTTTATTCTAGCCAAGGAATTGTGGATGACAGTGGAGCCGTCAGCTTCATGAAGCTGAACATAAGCGCTGGCAGTCTGGATCTCTATCAGAAACTGTACCACAGGTATTTGGTGATAGATCTTTTTTCCTTTAAGAAAATTTGTAATGACCGCGAGTAGGAGACACCATGGAGAATCACGGTGCCAAGGCTGATTTCTCTGAGCCGTAATTCCGGGTATCAGTGAGTTTCTCATTGGGAGGAGATTGGACTCTAAGCGGGGCTGGTTGTTCTGGGTTCATTCGTGGGAAGCAGCTAAGGGTTACTGGCCATTTTGTTTGTGCCCTTGATGGCATTGGATAACATTGTAAAATGGAGAGTCCTCCTTACTGCTTTTCTATTATTCTTTTTTTTTAAGATTTTATTTATTTGAGTGAGAGAGCAAGCGTAAGTAGCGGGGAAGGGCAGAGGGAGAGGAAGAAGCAGGCTCCCCATATAGCAGGGAGCCCAATGCAGGGCTCGATCCCAGGACCCTGGGATCATGACCTGAGCTGAAGGCAGATGCTTAACCGACTGAGCCACCCTTAACTCCCTGGACTTTAGAGATACACATGCTACGTGAAAGGGTGTGTCTCCAGGAATCCCAGAGAAAGCCTCAGGGTCCCAACCGGGGTGACCAACTGATCCTGTTTTGCCCTGGACTTTGCCAGTTTCAGCCCAGAAGTCCTGCTTCCCAAGGATCTCCTCAGTCCCAAGCAGCAGGGATGGCTGGTCCCCCAGCCCTAAGCCACCTTGTCAGATGATGCCGTGCCAGGGGTCGGCAGCATTCTGGGGGCCTGGGAGGGGGTGACTAGTTCAGTTTAGCTGATGTGTCCTGGACCTCGAAGCCAACTTGTGGGCCTGGGCAGGTCATTGTGTGTCCAGTGGATGGAAATGAACCTGAGCAACAGATCGCATGATTGATGGCTTCACTGGTTAGGGGGCTGGAGGAAAGGGTGGGCTTAAGCTACTTGTTACTGTTTTGCATATATGTTTAAAGCCTTTGCGGTCTTCCTAGGATTGTCATCATTTCTGAATGTTCTCTAATATAAAGGTCACACGGTGTCCTTTGTGCATAAGCCTTGGTCAGCTCCCAGGTCCTTACCACTCATCCCCAGGTGGCTAGCCAAGCCATCGCCTCCCAGTCGGCCAGGTGCCAGGGGCTGCACTTGCGGGAGAATGAGGTAACCAGCCATGCCGTCCCTCCTTTCCTTTGAGTGGGAGGCTGGGAGCAGTTTGCATGCCTGGTGGTTGCTGACCGCGGTGGCTAGGGGGCTGACTTCCGCCCAAGCTGCCCAGCTTGGCTGTCCCCAGGAATGTGACAGGGTGAGCCCAGGAGGAGGGCTGTGCTCGCCAGGTGCACGCATGAAAACAGCAGGGCTGTGTTCTGCCTGCCCAGGAAGCTAAACACAGCTGCCTGGGCTCTTTGTAAATGCTGGGTGTTTCTGTTCTTCCTGCGAACACTTACGTGCAGCATCGGGGCTGAGCAGGGACGAAAGGCTCCTTCCTCTCCACAAGAGCCCCGGGGACTCACCGGGTGGTTGTTTGGAGGGAAGACGAGGAGATCATTGCCTGGCATGGGGTGTCCCATACATGTGTGTTGGGGGGGTGGAAGGCTCCTTTCTCTTTGCTTTGATACCCGAGTTGCAGGTTCCCAGTGGGGCTCCTTTGAGCGGCCGTGGCGTGCCCACAAGCTGGTGGCTGCACACTGCACATCCACATAGAGGATAGTCGGCTTTACGATTCTTAGAAAACATCTTCGTTTGGGCGCCTGGGTGGCTCAGTCGGTTGGGCGACTGCCTTCGGCTTAGGTCATGATCCTGGAGTCCCGGGATCGAGTCCCGCATCGGGCTCCCGGCTCAGCGAGGAGCCTGCTTTTCCCTCTGACCCTCCCCCCTCTCATGTACTCTCTCTCTGTCTCTCATTCTCACTCTCTCAAAATAAATAAATCAATCTTAAAAAAAAAAAAAAAAGAAAACATCTTCTTTTAATGGGAACGCGTCTTCTCTTGGCCCCGTAGCCAAAGACCACCAGGACCCGCAGTGTCCGTGGAACTGTGGGGCCTCTCGGTGTGAGGGTGTCAGAGGGGACTTTGTGTGTAGGACTTGGGCTTGTGTTGAATCATTTTGGGGAGGTTCAGGGAAGCAGGGCTTTGCTTGGATTAGATGCTGTTAGGAAGCGAGGTGATTCTGTGATTGGTATCTTAACGCTGTTTTGTCTAGAAGGCGGCGGGCATGAAGCTGGGCTGCCTCGGGATTGGCAAACAAGTGCCATCACTCGTGGTGCCCAGCAGAGGGGGCTGTTGGTCACCGTGCGACTTGGACACGGTTCGTTGTCTGGCCCCGTGGGGACCCTGAAATCGCCGACATTCAGGGGAACACACAGCCGGAGGCAAGATGCCTGCATGTTAGGGCTGCTTCTCTCCCTCACGATGCATTAGGGGAAAATTCCCTCTGAGACAGAATGCATTGGTTATTTGTCTTTCAACTAGAACCTCAAACACTGACCTCCCAAACGAGTAACTTTTCTTTGGCTCCCGAGCAAATGATTGGTTGTCTTGCTTTCTGTGCCGTAAGTTGTAAGGCAGTCATAGGAACCCAGAACTGTACACATGGCTTCCAGACAAAATCAGAGGGTGATTTCAAGGTCTGGGAATAAAAATAGTAGCTCATGTTATTGGGCGCCTGCCCTGACGGCCACTCTGATGTGGTACCCTCATTATCCCACTCTACAGATGGGAGAAACTGAGGCACGGGGCCACAGGGTACACAGCGGGGACTTGAAACCCAGGCTTTGACTCGGTGTCTGCTCTTGGCCAGTGTCCCCCATGTAGATCTAATCTCCTTATCTGAGTCCTCAATCATGGGCCCTTCCACGCCGGGGAGTGAGAACATTGGAAGAAAATGTGTATTTCTAAGTATTTTGAGAGTCAAGCATCTCCTATTTATTACAGTGACCAGAACGTCCCCTGTTCTTTTGCAGTGATGTTTGTTCTTCAAAAATGGTGGTTTCTTTACGCTGTATAGGTAAGTGATTCTTGCGTACCTGCTTTTTTTCCTAAATAGGGAACACACTGTACCTTCAGAAACACCTCCCCTGTGTCTGGGGAGGTGGGGTGATGGGTTGGGATGTGCCCAGAGGCCTCGCGCCGTCTGCACCCCAGCTGCCCCCCAAGGAACACCTTTCTGGAATTGTGGTGTGCTGGAGATGCCTTCCGCCTCGGGTCCAGAAACAGCCGTCCCGTGAGGATGGGCAATCTCAGGAAACGGACGGGCCCCCCTCTCCCCCTCTCCTGCCATCCCCAGCCGGGGCTGTTCCCATCTTCATGCTGGGATTACTTACAGCTTCCAAACTTTGATCAGTGTGGGGGGCACTGTGTCTGCGCTCCCCTCCCTGGGGTGGCCCAGTCCTGTGTTCCAACGGGACACTGGTTGCGAAGCTCAGCTCTTCCGTGTGAAGAGGTGAACCTAGCAGCCGCTCCCAGGGATCAGGAGGGGGGCTGCGTGACCCAGCGGTCCCGGCCGGCCGCCACTTCCCAGCCAGGCTCAGCTCAAGCTATCTCAGGCCCCGAGACAGTGTGCCCGCCCCACCCTCCAGCCCTCGCCGTCCACCTCGTGGGGCCTGAGGCCACACACTCGAGCGGTTTGCAGGTGCGCTGGATGAACACTCACGGAACCCCAGCTTCTTCACGCTGGCAGTGACAGGGACAGGACAGGGGACTGCAGGGGCTCGGAGATCGATCCAGGGAAGTCCCTGGGTCTTCAGCCTCCCTCCAGCCTCCCCTGCTCGTTTGGTTCTGGTCCACTGTGAACTTCTCCTCGTGCCTCCGAGGCCCCTGCACCACATGCCCCCTGCCACCCGGAGCCTCTGTCCTGTAAAGTAGGCTCTTTCCCCACCGGTGCTCCCGAGTTTCCACAAAGGAAACTCGTTTCCCTTTCTGGCAAAGAACTCGGCACAAGTGGCACCAGGCCAGGCCTGGCACTGGGGGCAGCCCTGCTCCTGCCCACGGGCACTGTGCTTGTCACTTTCAGAGTGCGGGGTCACAAGGAAGATCATCCGCCAGAGCCGGATCGTGGGCGGGAGCAGCGCCTCCTTGGGGGACTGGCCCTGGCAGGTCAGCCTGCACGTCCAGGGCACCCACGTCTGCGGAGGCTCTATCATCACCCCCGAGTGGATCGTGACGGCTGCCCACTGTGTGGAGGAGTAAGTCCATGGGGGTGGGGGTCTCGGGGGCGTGGCTCACGGGTTTGGAGGTGGCTCGGGCTGTGGGACTGGGAGTGAAGTCTCTGACCTCTTCAAGCCCTGTTTTCTTTGCCTGTACGTGGGGCACAGTTCCCGCTTCATGGCCCTGCTGGAGGGTCAGGTGGGTGCGTGCGTGGGCAGCGGGGGCCAGGCCCATCCCCCACCTCTTCAGCAGGTGTGTGCGGGCGTCCCCCGTGTGCAGGGCTCTGGGTGGGCTGCAGTGTGTGAGGGGAGCCTGCATCCTAGCTGAGTTCTCAGGAGCCCTGCCCTTGTGGGAGGCCTGGTCTTCCCCGATGCTCGTCCTCAAGATGGCACACCAGGGGACCTCACATTGCTCTGCCCGAAGGTTCCCTGGGACCCATGGTTAAGCAGCCTTGACCACGGCGTTGCCCACGCAGATGGGTAAGGAGCGGGGAGGGTAGCCATCATTTATAGTGTTGGCCTTTTCCCTTAAACGTAGAGTTTTTTTGGTCACATGCCTATTTCGGAAGGAAGTTAGCTCCGCAGAGCTGTCTTTCTGACTTAGAGTGAGCTTATACCTTGGCTTGGGTCCTGGTCCTCTGCACACTTGTAGACAGGCGAGCCTGCTCGTCCCAGGGGCTGTGGGGAGGGTGGAAGGAGCGATGTTTCCTTCCTTACCTCCTTCCTCCTTCTGATGGCTTCCCAGGATCTGGGATTCTCTTAAAAAGGAAACACCTAGATAAAGCTAATGCCCTGATGGCTGTTTGACCTAGAGTCTAGGCATCCACATACATTTATTAAGCCACCTACTGTGTGCCAGAAGATGCCCTACCACATAAAGGTAGGTAAGACCCAGTCCTGGCAGAAGAGAGGTTGGAGATCTCAGGGGGGGCATCAGGCCCAAGAGAAAGCATTCTTAGAACCTGGAGGGTTTGCAGGCTGGCTCGGACCATAGGAGGGACGGGTTGCATGGGGGGGGGGGGGGGGGGGGCACGGTGTGGTGCCGAGGGAGGAGAGCCTGAGATGATCTCGCCAGACTCGCCGTGTAGCTTCCAGCGGTTCCTGTCACCTCTGGGACGCTTGGCTCCTGTGTATGATTTTTGGATATCACCAAATGAGTGTTTCACGTTCGTGCTCCTGAGATGCTGAGTGATGTTCGACTCTGTCTTCCAGACCGCTGAACAACCCCCGGTATTGGACGGCCTTCGCGGGAATCCTGAGACAATCTTTCATGTTCTATGGACATGGACACCGAGTGGGAAAAGTGATTTCCCATCCCAATTATGATTCCAAGACCAAGAACAATGACATCGCCCTTATGAAGTTGCAGACACCTCTGACTTTTAACGGTACGTACCCGTGTCCGTGGGGCTCAGGGTGCGCGGACGACTTTGACCACATCTTACGGACAGAGGTGGATTGGAACGAATCCCGGGCCGTGTTAACCGCAGGGTGGGGTGCGGAGGGCTGGCTCACAGGGCGCCCTGCACAGCCGAGAATGTATCTGTGGCTCTCGGGGGAGGCTGTCAGTGGCTCGCTCGTCCTGCACGGATCAGAGTGATGATTTCACCAACGTGCGGAAGTCCAGAAGGGGTTTCCAGCCACAGCAGTGTTGACATTTGGGGTTGGCGGCTCTTGGTTGTGGGGCCCCTCCTGCTCATGGTAGGACAGGTAGCAGGAGCCCTGGTGTCCACCCCCTAGCTGCCAGTGGTGCCCTTCAATTGTGACAACAATGTGTCCCGTCCCGTCCCCCGGGGGCGACATCACCTCTAGTTGAGAGCTACTGGTGGAACATTTGTCAGTACTTGCCTTTTTCACACGAATCCTGAAGGTAAGATACTTCACAATTTACAACAATAAAAAACACACATGGTTTCCCTTAGCTTTGTATTCGGCCCCCGTTCTAGTCCGTCCAAGGGTCCCTCTGGAATGTTCCAGCCCACATGGGTACAGACGAAGCAGAGCCTTGTCCCTCTCCTCGAGGTGTTTGGATTCAAGTTGGGATACAGTTTAGACCCAGAAGGAGCCGGTCGGTGGGGGCTGATGTCCCGCAGGGGCCTCCGAGGTGCAGGCTGGGAGCGCCCGTAATTGTGAATATTTAGAAGCAGAACTAGCACATAATCCCATTTCCAAGCAGCATGCCTTCCAGAGGAGGGAGCAGACAGCCTGTAAGAAGGCCGGGCTGCGGGGCCGGAAAGTGGGAGTGCCGGGACACGTTGGAATCTGGAATTTTCCTTGAGCGATGGTGGTGGTCCCAGGCCTAGCTGCGTACAGGTGGGGAAGATCAGGTGAAGACGGTTGTGGGAAGCCTTCCATAGACCCGTTCACCGTGCTTTCTCTTCCTGGAACAGACAGAGTGAAACCAGTGTGTCTGCCCAACCCAGGCATGATGCTAGAGCCAGATCAGTCCTGCTGGATTTCCGGATGGGGGGCCACCTACGAGAAAGGTGAGGCTCCAGGGCACGCAGCTCTGCGGGTCCTCCAGGACCATAGCATGGGGTTTGGACGTGGGAGGTCCCGGGTTTAATCCTGGTTCTATTACCACATGATGAGATGACTTTGGGTGATTCACCCGGTCTCCATGCCTCAGTTTCTCCACCTGCTGAATGGGAAAAAATCATACCTGCCCTACTTAGCATAGTATTCTGATTAAGCTCCAGCGGAACAGTGTGTGGAAACTGCTTTTCTGAACTACAAAAGCCATGTAACTGAAAGGTGTACAAGCCCTGTGATTGCACCCCACTGTTGCTAACTGAAAGGTGTACAAGCCCTGTGATTGCTAACAACCCCACTGTTGCTAACGGGTTGCCCTGGAAGCCTGCCATGCCCTTCCTTCGATGGCTGAGTGACCGTGGGCTCGCATACCTCAGGATGGCCAGCAGCAGGCTGCCAGAGCTTTGTCCCTGTGCTCTGACACCCCAGAGAGACAGGAGGACCTACACCGTCCCAGCGCAGGCCTGCTCAGCTGGCTTCCTTATAATTTGCTTTCATCTCCGAGAATACTTTTCAGATCAAGGAATCCTAGCTGTTTCATGTTTATGAAGTGTTGGAAGTGCTTACTGGTACAAAGAAGCATCTTATGTATGGTTTACACCCTTCTGAAAAGTGTTTAAGGCACACATACACACCTTCTTTAAAGCAAGGTGAAAAGTACCAGGCGGGGTGATGTGGGGGGCCTGTCGGGGAGGTGGTGGTGGGCTGTGCATCCAGGCGTCTAGTGTAAAAACAGTTACTGCAGGTGAGCCTCCAGTTGGTGTTCGTGCCTTCACAGTGGCCCGGACAGATGGGAAGATCACGGATTTGTGGGGCATCTCCCATGGGCTGGGAATGCAGCGCTGAACAAAATAAGACAATCTCCATGTTTTCTCGTGGGTATCTGGGGGCAGAATGTGGTCAAGCAGGAAACAAATGACGGAACTGGGTGCTTTCAAACAGCAAGAAGTTGTGACAGCAGGGGCCTGGCTGTTTTGAAGAGGTGATCAGGGAAGGCTTCTTGGGAGAGGCAACATTTGAGCTGAGATCTGAATGACCAGGCTGTTTAAGGAACAGAAGGGTCAGTGTGGCTGGGGCATAGTGAGCCAGGGGTGAGGGTGTAGGCTATGCAGGGCCTCCTAGGCTATGGGGGGGACACTGGCTTTTATCCTGCGTGAGACAGAGAGCCATCAGGAGGTTTTAAGGAGAATAACAGGCGCGTGGGTGGTTCAGTCGGTTAAGCTTGTGACTCGTGATTTCGGCTCAGGTCATGATCTCCGGTCTTGAGATAGAGCTTGGCTTCGGGCTCCACGCTCAGAGAGGAGTCTATTTGAGGATTCTCTCCATCTGCCCTCCTGCTCACGGACGTGCTCTTTCTCTCAAATAAATCTTATTTTAAAAGAACGAGAATGACATGATCTGGTGGCCCTTTGGGCCAAGAGCACAAAGGATGCCTCCTGCCTGCAGGAGGGGGGCTGAACTCAAGTGTGGGGGATCATTGCTGTGGTCCTCCCTGACCAGCTCAGCTGTGGGTGGTGGGCTTGGAGGTGGGGACACCAAGCATGTTCGGGACGGAGCCACCACCTTGCAGATGGAGTGAATCTCAGCAGGGAGGAGAGTGAGGGATCCAGGGGCGGTGGCTCCTTGCTTCGTGATCCGAGCCCCAGGGTGGGTGGTGGTGCCACTTCCGGAGCCGGGGAGTAGGGGGTGGTGAGGATTTGGGGTGGTGGGGAGCAGTGAGAGGCTCTGTTCTGGCTCCTGAAGCCCGTGGTGCCTGGAGGACACCCATGTGGAGGCGGCAAGATGGGAGGCGAGCGGTAGAAATGACAAGGGTCCACGCTGGTTGAGAGACGTGTTAACGTGCATGGGAGCCGAGAGGTGGGGTGGTACGTGGAGGGCCACGGGGCTGTTGAAGGTGGAAACACAGGAGCACCCCATGGGCCCGGGAACGGTCTGGTGAGGAGGGAACCCCAAACCAAGTCGCTGGGGGGTGAGAGGAGATTCGAGAAGAGGGCAGGCGTTCCAGAGCCCCCGGGGGCAGGGAGGCGTCCCTGAACAGGAAGAGCCACACTCGGCACACGGCACATGTCCTAAGGATGACCCAGCGTCCCGGGACGAGGCTTGGTGGGGAGCAGCGAGGGGAGGGGAGGGGCCGTGGCCCTCAGTCTCCTGTCGCAGGGGCATGTCCCCAGGAGGGAGTCCTCTGTTTCCGCGGGAGCTGCTGGCCCCACAGCAGCTCCATGTCGTCTGCTGTCTCAGGGAAGACCTCGGACGAGCTGAACGCGGTCATGGTGCCCCTCATCGAGCCTTGGCGCTGCAACAGCAAGTACATCTACAACAATCTGGTCACGCCGGCCATGATCTGCGCAGGCTATCTGCAGGGAAGCATCGACTCCTGCCAGGTGACTGCAAGGTGTCAAGCCCGCCGTGACCCGCCCCCCCCACCACCCCGAGGCGGGGTCCGCGCTCCCAGACCGGAGGCAGCTCCGGGGTGGCCGTGGCCAGGCTCAGTGCTAATGCTGGGGAAGCGCGTGCTGCCACCCACCCGCTGCCTCCGTTTCCACCCCAGGGGTTTTATTTTGTCAGCTTGTCAGTGGGACAGAAATAAGCTTCTGAACTATTTAAAAATACAGTCCACAATTTACTTAGTAACTCCTCCTTGGTCCAGACTAAAACTCGTCACCGGCGTAGTGTCTGGGGGATTATGTTGCTGTCCCTCGCCGGGGGAGACACGAAACCCGCACACCCACTCGTAACTCCCATGGGGACCCCCACCCTTGGTGCGTGGCCAGTTGTGTGCGCAGTTGTGGTCTGAACTTCTGCTCTTGCCGCGTCCCCCAGGGTGACAGCGGAGGTCCCCTGGTCACTTTGAAGAGCCGCATCTGGTGGTTGATTGGGGACACGAGCTGGGGGTCCGGCTGTGCGAAAGCTAACAGACCAGGAGTGTACGGAAATGTGACAGTATTTACCGACTGGATTTACCAACAAATGAGGGTAACTTCCCTGTCCCCCTCCTCACCGAGCTCTCTGAGTCTGGTGTCAAAGCCCAGAAGTCTGCAGGGTGTGGGCTGCCTGCAGGAGCCCCACCAGTCCCCCACACCCAGCACCGCCCAAACTCTGCCTCCCGGGGCCCCGGTTTGCAGTCAGCATCGCCCTCCCCGCCCTCCGCCGTCCACCCTCACTGCTGCCCAGTGCTGCCCAGGTGCAAGAACCTGGGGCGGAGCCTTTCCGAGTCCAGAGCCAACCGAACAGGGCTTCCCTGTGCTCTGCTGACCATGCTTGGCTCTGATTCAGCTGGCTCTGCTCACCGCCCCGCCCCCACCCCCGACTCATCATAGTCAAATTCCAGTGATGGGCAGAGAACAGAGCAAGGCAGATCAGCCAGATCTCTGTGCCCCGGGGTGGAGGAGTAGCTGGGGTTCCCTGGTACAAGGAAAAGTGGTGAAGACCAGAATTTGGGTATAGCTTCCCTGGGAGCCCAAATTTCCTGTATTAAACCAGAGGGGTGCCAGCCCAACTCCTTGACCTTCGCGCCATAGGAGAAATATCTCTTGGTCCCTCTCAGCCTGCTCATTTATTTGGTGAGCAGTCAGTCTAGGAGAAAAAAATAATTTGCTGCTACCTTTTTATGGCTGAAAATAACATTGTTTCTTTTTTCCTTTCTGAACAGGCAAACAGCTAATCCCTACGGTCTTTGTCCTTGGCACTGTTCCTCGAGGAAATGAAGGGGCTGATTCTTCATTCCCTGAGCATAATGTATTTTTAGAAATGATTTGAAGGTCCTTTCATTGTTATTAAATAGTGAATTCATCTGTCTTTGGCACTCTCCACAGTTCTGTGCAAGCCACAGACCCTTTGCTCCCTGACCCCTCATCTAAAAGGGGTGACCAGGCCCAGCTGGGTGCGGGCGCCTAGGAGCCGATGCAAAGCAATGGGTTGGAGGCTGTCCGGTTGGGATTCCTTCCGAGCCCACCGCGGGGGCCACTTCTGGATGTACCTGGGGCCGGTGACTTCTCAGCTGCTGGATGGCTGGAGATAGAAAGGGAGAAAGCTGGGTGGGACCGTCAGGGGCAAGCTTCTGGGGTCACTGCCGGGGAGGGCTACCCCCGGCCAGTCTCCCCACAGGGGTCTTCGCTGACCATTTTTTAGTGCCTTCTCAGCAGCCCCGGGTGGTAGCTGGAAACAAAGGGAACAGCCCTTAATGGCTGAAGACAAGAACCTCAGCTCCTGCTCGTGAGGGGGAGAGTGTAGGCAGTTCCCTCCGAACAAGGAAAACCATCGCAAACACGAGCCCCCTGTGCACGGCTGGGCTGGTGGCCGCCGCATGTTGGGGGGGGGGCGCCCCCGAGGGAGACCCAGCCTCACTCCCCACCCTCTTCCTTGGAGGTTGTGGGGTGCCGTGGTGACCCTCTCGAGGCGAGGCCTTGCTAATCACATGGAAATTGAGGTCATCCCAGGGGAAATCAGGGATGTGTGATTGAAGATACACTGTTTCCATGTCGAGTTGCTACATGTTACTACCTCAGTGCTCACCTAGTCTTGGCCGGTGCCTCTAAGTAGTTGTTACTTTTGGCTCTTTGAAAGTATTGTCCTTGCCAAGTGCAAACAGCGGTGGACTTGAACTGCTTTGAACTGCTTTGCAAAGCGTTCTGTACACAAGCGTGCTGAAGCTCGCAACAAAGAAGAGAAAGGGGGTGTTTTGGACTCCCGGAGGCCCCTTCCTGCCCTTCAGGCTTCCCCTGGAGGGAAGGGCCGTGGTTGAATTGCCGACCGAGCTCGGAGCATCAATGGTCATGCTGTGAGTACTGCTTTCCCGAGGCTCTGCAGAGCCTCCGCTCTAGCACACTGGTTTCCCAAAAGAAAATGAATGATTCTACTGCTGCCGCTTAACCTTAAAGCGGAAGGTCATGGGGTCCCGTTCCCAGGATGCTTCTGATCATGTGCCTCCTCGGCGGCACCATCCCTGGGGACCTTCCAAACCCTCGGCACCCCACCTGCTCCCCAAGCCAAATTTTAAAAAGCATTGTCGTGGTGAGAACGTGTTCCTTCCTTAGCTTCTTTTCTGTGACCACTGTTTGTCTTCCTTTGTATCTTTTTGTTTTGTGTCTTTTTTAAACTGTAAAATTCAATTGTGAAATACTGTAAAAATAAATTATGCATTTTTTTTCCAAATGTTTATGGAGTCTTTGGAGGTCTGCATGGTATGCAGACCCAGTCTGTATCTCCTTGTAAGGCAGTTCTTGGGGACAGTGCTACCCTCAGCTCTCATGGATGCTAACCCCGTGGAGTCGGGTACTGTGAGCAGGAGAGTAAGACTGGGTGAGTTTTTTCTCTGCCTGAGAACAGAAATCCATTTCAATCCTTTGCATTCCGCAAATCCCGTGGGTCCTCCATACATGACAGGGAATTGTCTTCGTTATATCAAGATGTGTTAAAATTATGGAAAAAGTTGTAATAAAAAGGTAAAACACGCCTTTTTGTTAGGCAATACCCTCAGATACACCTGAGTCATTCATGGTAATTATGTACCATAAAACCAACACGAACACTGAAATAGTGAATCGTTGCTTCCAGGGGACAAACAGGGACAAGGTCAGGTGCCTGTGAGCCTCCAGTCTGTGAACCGATCAGTTCATGACCTTGTTTTGTGGGTGTTTGTGTTTAAAGACACCTAACTGAATATACACTGTTGATGCATTAACACTGAGCTCACCGCCAATGGCACCATCAGTCCTGTAGGAGCTTAGCCACACACGTGCTTTCTCTCTGAAGCATGTCTCAGCCTAGGGCTTATTAGCACAGCACTACACTTGGGGCCATTTTAAACAGCGAGATCACCGGCAAAAATACCAAAGTGCTGGAAAGGTGGCATTAACTAGACCAGGAGAGGACACTTGTTCACAGCGAGAGCTGAAACAAGGCAGGGCTTCACCTTGTCATTCCTCAGCTGGGAACATCAGGCAACCCACGTTTGGGGCTGCTATGCACACGTCCACCAAAGCACTGCGACTGTTGAGTTGGAAATTGCAAATTGTAGCAAGTAGGTGGATTAGCAAAGGATCCGCGAATAACGGGTCACAATTCCTAGAGTGTCCACATGGCATGGCGGCTGACAATCTTTTCAGTTATATTTTCCATGCTGGAGTCGCTTTGTGAGTGGTTTTACTCGTGGGTGAGGCTGTTTGCACTTAGAAGATCTAGCCAGAATGCCGAAGCTAGGGAGATATTGATACTTTGTATTAAAATCTTTATAGGAGGGCCCCCTGGGTGGCTCAGTCGTTGATCATCTGCCTTCGGCTCAGGTCATGATCCCAGGGTCCTGGGATCGAGCCCCACATCAGGCTCCCTGCTCGGCGGGAAGCCTGCTTCTCCCTCTCCCACTCCCCCTGCTTGTGTTCCCTCTCTCGCTGTCTCTGTCAAATAAAATCTTTGAAATAAAGCCTTTATAAATGATGTAAGTTAATTTACTTACTGTAAATAAACCCCAAATATTAATTAGAGAAAAGTGAATACACCAGTGTTGATAAGTGAATAATTTGTGCTGGGCATTATGTTGCCTCTTGATGCTGGCTCTGCGGGTCAGTTCCCAGCATTGAAACCTGTGCCCGCCTCGATGTCTCTCCAGCTGAGTTGTTAATGGGGGACAGTCCTGTCTTGAACCCAGGCTCCGGGCCAGTTCTCAGCCCTTCTCTCTGTTCTCCTATGGCTTACCTGATCCTGCTCTGATCCCAGAGTCTCTTCCCTTCCCTCCAAGACCTTACCCTGAGCCTGGATTTGTAAGGAGCTGCACACGCCGCTGGTTGGAGCCAAACCCCATGGCCCAGGCCCTCTGTCGCACTGGCCTCATCGAGGGTGATGTATGATGCGACACATACCAGAACGCCTTCTCCCAGTAAACCCAGCATTTTAAGAAAAGTACCAGAGTGAAGTGACATCTAAAAATTCACTAATGTCCCAGCTGCCCCATTTTTAAGGAACCAACCCCAAAAGTGGTGTTTGCTAAAAGTTCGCTGTGGTGACAGAGACTGAGCTTGTAACCAACTGAAATCCCGCAGAACCACTCAGAGAGCTTTCTTCCCTGGGAGGAAAAGGGTAGGTCTGACAAATGGAAAGCCAAGGTCCCTGTGCCTTCTGCTGTCTTCACTGCTCTGTGGTGGAGGATTTGCCACCAGAATTCCCTTCCTCTGAAACAAAAACGCATCTGGGGGACTTTTCTGGCTGACTGGTTGCTTTTGTCTTCGCTTTTCCTCGAAAAGGACAGTAATAAAAGCAAGGGCTCTGAAGCTTCTCAGAAGACCATCACGAATCCAGAAAGTCCTCTGAACAAATGCCCAGACCCCACTCCCTCTTACAGCATTAAGTGCTTACAGCATGTCAGCCCCTGTGTCCTGGAAAAATCAAGACTTCCTCTTTCAGTCAGTTCGATTCCATCCAGCCCCTCTCCTTGCTCTGCCCCAAACTCAGCCCCTTCCTGTGGGGTCATCGGAGCCCCAGACCAGACTTAGCTAAAGTGAGGGTTCATGAGTGGATATCGTAGATATTCTAGCATATTCTTCACAGACAGATGGACCTTCCTACTAGTGTTCGAAAGTGGGCAGCAGAATCTGGAGAGGCAGGCTCTGATCCTGGCGGCGTCCCTCCTGTGGGGGGTAGGGATGGCAGATGGGAGGACGGGGAGGGCGCTTCAACCCCTTGTCTGAGCTTGGCTGTCCTCGGAGCGAAGAAGTCACACCAGGTGGACTCCGGAGCGCTCTCTCCTCGAGTCCCGAACACATGGGAGAAGGGACAGTCCACTTCTCCCTTGTTGATGGCTGGTCAGAACAAGCCTGGGGGATCCCTAGACACCTGCTGTTTGGGGCCAAAATGAAAGTGATTGCAAGCACCTCATGAGCAGGCGTGCTCCCTGGGGAAATTCCATTCTCCGGAGCACATGCTCTCAGCTTTCTTCCTCCTGCTGCTCTTTCTGTCTCCAGGAAAATTGTAACCACAGCGAAGAAGACCCCTGAGCAACACTGACATCTCCCGGCTGCTCCCGGAGATGTTAATCAGGCCGGCCCGGCAGGGGGGAGCAGAGACGCTGGCCTGGATCTTTGTGCTCAAGGGGCACGTGCCCGTACTCTGCCTGCTGTAGGAGCGCCTGCACCACCCGCCTGCCTTCGCTCTTGCAAAAATCTCTGTGCATTGATAACTGCTTCCTTTTAGCCCGAGGGAAACCCGCCCCTGCCAGCGGTCAGTAGGTGTGTAATTGGCATGAAAGGCCCAAGGTGCTGCGCCACGCTGGGAGCTGATTGGGACTTGTTGAATGCCCATCCTTTTCCCGGCATCCGCTCTTGTAAGCAGATTCTGATTGTGCCAAAGCACTGGGGATCGTAGCATCCCAAGGATCATAAGGGACCTGGGAGATGGGGCTGGATGGGAGGGGACATGTCACTAGTCGGCTACCGGGGAGAGGCAGTCGCCTGGCTTGGCCTGAAGCCCCCACTGCCTGGGAAGGCACGGCTCCTGGGGCAGCTCCCCCCTTTCTGGACACCTGGTAGAAAGTGCTCCCACCGCCCACACTGGTTGTGTAGGATGTCTCTCCGGAGAGCATTCGCTCCCAGTGCTCCTTTGGACGGCTCTCCTGCAGGCAACTCGACCTTCTTTACAGGACCTGCTGGCAGATCCCTTTGTGCCCGGCCTGGCCACAGCCCGCTGTTCCGGTTCCCCGCGGCTGGGTGTCTGCGTGTGTCCCCAGCCCTGGCCAGACCAAGGAGAACAGTCGGGACTCTGCAGGGCTCCCCCAGGGCAACTCAGGGTCAGACATCTGCCTGCAAGACCCCGCCGGGCGCCGCCCCCACCCAGACGGGCTTGAATACTTTCAGCGCCGAGCCGGCCACCAGGCGACAGGAAAGCCGGACACATGATCAACCGCTGATGCATTTGCTGGTTTCTTTTTGTCTTTTTGTGAAATAATCAATTAACACCCACCACCTCATATACTTAATTCTTTTTCTTGTGAGAAGAACTTTTAAGGGTTACTCTCTTAGCGACTCTCAAATGCGCAACATAGTATTGTCAACGGGTTTATCTTCTAACTGGAAGCCTGGGCCTTTGACCCCCTTCACCCACTCCTCCTGTTCCATTTGTACTCCATTGCTTTACTTTTAGTCGCCGTCTGCCCCCGGCCCCTCGTGAACAACCACGTTCTCTGCTCGGCCACGGAGGGCAGCGTTAGTGCCCCATCATTTGCCCCACTGGGGTCCCACCCACTGTCATTTTCAGGCTTCTCCCCCCAGAACACAAGGCGTCAGAGCCGTGTCTGGTAGAAACGGTTTATTACAAATCGGTGAAATACAGCTGCTAAGAGTGCCCACGCACGTGGCACGAATGCTCCCAAAACATCAGCTGCACAAAAGCAAGTGGCACAAAGCAGGAACAAAGCCTTCTACGATGCTTCGCATGCACCGGTCCCCGGTGGGAGACGGAGAGGGTTCCGGAGGAACCATCCTGGGGGCGGAAACTCATTTTTCCTAACAGGGAAGGCGGCGGCGGCGGCCCCCCAGGACAAATCCCGATCTTCGTCAGGACCTACATCCTCTTACTAGCTCCCTGCCCACTCAGGGACAAGCACGGGTAATGACTGGAAAGACTGGTTGCTAACTCCTCGAGGATCTGTGACATGGGGTGGGGGGGGGCGAGGGGGGGAAAGCGCGGTCCTGCTCCCAGCAGATGTGCCCTGGAGGTGCGGGTGGGACAGGGAGCCCGCCTTAGCCGGGGAACTTGGCCAGGCGGCGCCGAGCCTGGGCCAGCCGCGCGAGCCGCTCCTTCAGCAACTTCCTCTTGTCGCTGGTGTCACTGCGCTCCTTCAGGAGCCAGTTGTGGGTGTCCTTGTCGTGGAGCAGCAGCAGCATATCCTTCTGCAGCTTCTGGCCGTACACTTGCAGGATGAAGTACTGGATGATCAGGGGGATGTGGCTGGAGATGCGGTTGGTGGCCTCCTGGCAGGGAAGAAGAGGTCACAGAGAGGGGGCTGACTCCAGCCTGCAAGCGTCAGGAGGGGCCGGGCGGCTGGCCGGGCAGATGCACGCCCCTGCCTGGGTCTC